GTTCAGTAGAGGGGTTTTGATGAGTGGAAGATCTCAAATTGATCTTTAATTTGTGTTAAACTGCTCTTTTCAAAGGTTGTGACGTGAATGTCAAGTAAGGGTAAAATGTTAATTATTTCTGACTGCAAGTCTTTTCGAATGTTTAGTTTTCTGTGTTGCTTGCTTTCACCCTGTGCCTTTTCTCCAGCTGAGCGTCTTCCAGTTCTTCCCGTTTTATCCATTCAGATGAAAATCGTCTAAGGACAATCGTCTACAGTGTCGGTTTTTCTTCCTTTTCTCTTATTCTCTCTGTCCTTCCACCTTTCTTTCAACTTCTTTCCCTTTCCTCTCTCATCTCTCCTTCTCTTTTCTCACACCCTCCCTCCAGCTCTACCTCTCTTTCTCCTCTTCGCCCTTCCTCACTCACTCTCATCAGCAGGGAGCCCTCGGCTCCCTTCATCACCGTAGACTCAGACTCAGTCCCGCTACAGTAGAGTTGCCTGGCTGATTCTTAACCTTAAACCGGTTTAATACTGTTTTGCTGGCAGCCGTCGGTATATTTTCAGAGCCATTTGTATTCTGAGCAGATGGAACGTTATCCTCAAGTCAAGTTTCCACTGCTTATGCAACCTCTGGATTTCAGCTCTGTCTGTATTCACATTTTTGCTTCATGCAAGGGGAAATTCATCTTTAGAGGAATTTCAGGCTTCTCTAATTGTTTGTCCTCCTGTTTCCCGTCATGCGTAGTGAGAGGGTTTAAACCTTGATGTTTTTAACAGGGTGCTCATGACAAACTCAATGTGAAAATGTCTTATTCAGCACATTTATATGTGTGCATACTTTTCAAGAATATATATATGTATGTATATGAATAAATTGTTCAGAAAAAATATCTTCAATGACATGGTCTAATTCCTGTGTCTTAAACTGTGAGATAAAGTCACCACCAAGGGCAGTATTAAGGGTGGGCTTCTGGGATTTAAACCCCGAATGTTTTTTATCACCTTGTCACAATTTTTGTCACAAACAAAATTATTCAGAGCTGCAGGCTGCTATATAAATCAGATGTGGTCTTGCAAGCCACATTTTGACTGTTTTGCATAAAGTCTGGCGCATTTTGTTATTTATTCTGTCACAAAGTCAAAGAAATGATGGCACCGCTTTCCGTTCTACAGACCTCACCAAAGTAATCAGAAAAAACTGTGTTGACTTTGGTCCAGACAGATATTTTGGCAAAATAGGAAATATTTCAGACTATATAATATTTAATAACTCTGAAAACAGAGCAAAACATACAGTGCTTAAGGATATGTTGGCAAATTCGGCTAGACATTTGCAGTTTCGGGGAAAAAAAATCAGTTTTATTAAAACATAATGCTAATATTATACAGAAACTTTTTTATATCAGAAGTGCTAATAATAATAATAGCCAGCTAACTTGTAAACAACACTTGCTGACTCAAAAAAGTGCTTCGAACTATAAAAAGCCAAAAGGAAGAACATTTTTTAACTCGCATTTTAAAGTAACATACATAGTTTTAAATATGAAACCTCTGAACCTCAAGATGTTAGTGGACCTTTTTAGTTATATATTTAAAGATTAATTTCATTTAAATGACACCTCACACCAACATTTCAACATTACTATTATAATAAAGTACATTATTCAATATTTCATCAAAGCATGAAACCATACTCATTCATAGAGGTCTAGGCTATAAACTCTAAATATCCACTGCCCCCCCGGTCACCACTGCTATTTCTGTTCTTTAAGCTTCTGTTTCGGCAAGAGACGTTGGCTAATTGAAGCTTGTTCCTCCATATTTCATTTCTGATCGGCCATGTCCTGAGAGACAGTGGAGCACAACACTGTAAGCTTTTAGATTCTCCCTCCTGGAACTCAGCCGGAACAAAAGCCTCTCTTTATACATTTGCGGCCATAAGCTGTGGGAATTTAATCGAACAGACAAACTTTTAATTTGGGACAATTTTAATAAATGTGACCTTTTGTTCTGATCTCGGAAGAATTCAAATTGCCTATGTGATTATTTCTTTCTTACTTGAGCATTGTGGTGCATAAAATATTCAATGTGTAAAACCTGTACATGAAATCACACCATATAAATATAGAAATGTATGATAACATGACTGTTTTCTATAGGTTGAGCTGGGAAAAGAGAAGGAAAGAAAGGCCAGGTATCGTGCTTACCAGTGCGCCGCCATCATTCTGAGTGTGGTATTCCTGATATTGGCCCTCTGTATCTTCAGTCTGAGATATATATGGAGCCCAAGCCCTGGGAAGGTAAGAAAAATCCAAATCTATTGTGGAGACCAAGAGATATTATTGAGCATGGTGCATGGCTGTGGATTAATTAGGAAATGATAAGAATAACAATCGTGGAATGGAAATGAAAGACTCAGAAACATCTGCACACACTGTTTAGTATTCTTGGAACTGACTGAATCCAGTCTTGATTTCCTTGGCATAAACAATAACATCACAGAGTTGGAAAAAACGGCAGATTGAATATATAAATAAATAGATCGTTTTTCATAAAATTGCTACAATAACCGGAACTGCAAAACATAGATATTATTCATTATAGTTCCTCAATTCTTGTTGATACCCAGAAATGGGCAGCGTGTAAGTAATTGTCAATACCGGGGTGTCAATAGACATGCAAACCTTATGCTTCGGTATACTATGTTATGCATAAATTCTTCCAGAGGACGTAACTCATTTAACAGACAATTCTTTTAATGCGTTTGCTGAAGCTCCGGTCTAATTTCTGCATCAGATATTTCACGCTCCTGCTTGAGGAGTCATCACTTTGAGCTGTAGAAGCAGTGAAGATTCGCACAGGGCATGTAATGGGCTTAATGGCACTGGAAGTCTGGGCTGTGGAGATCGAGAGCAAGCGCTCACACTCTCAAACTGCTGCGGTTGGCTAACTGAAGGCCTGTGTATTCGCTGATATCCAGCAATGAGCAGCATAATGGCGCTTTAAAACACAATGATAGGCCCAACTGTTAGGGGGTCTCTTCAACAGCAGTCAGGAGGAAATATTAGGCAAGCAATGAGTGTGTGTGTGTGTGTGTGTGTGTGTGTGTGTGTGTGTGTGTGTGTGTACAGCTCTCT